TTCGTTGGCAGGGTGAAGCGTGTGATAATGTGGACAGTTGTGATGTGTATGTGATGAGGATTATCCGGGGTATCTTTACGTGTTTGTGTGTGTATGTGGCTACTCAGGATAAATGGAAAGAGGGGATGTTTCAGTGCGTGTCTTGTTTGGGATGACTGCAGGAGTCAAAATGACAAAAATTAAGCACCTCAAGAATTGCTCTCAGCAGGGCCTAGACTTGCCAGAGTAAACAGTGAAAAGAAATATTCCAGCCAAGCCAGCCAGTCTGTGGCGTGTCCGTGGGGGAGGGGGGGCCAAGCGGAGATCCAGCTGCAGCACCTGCACAAACACTAAAAACGAAGTGTGGGCAGCCGCTACACACAGCTGGGGACACAGGCGCTGTGTTGTTGTGGAGAACGAAGTAGACGCTGCTCTCTGATTGCAGTTTGTTGTGGTGCGTTGGAAGAGTGAGCATCACTTTGTTCAAACTAATGGGAATTGTTTGCGGGTAGATCACAGACATTTAGGTTAAAAAACATTATGTAAAAGATGCTGTTTCTATTGGAATTTGAATGCGGACCCTTGGATGACACCACAGGAGCAGTATGGAGTCATTTTATGTTTCCTTCTGTTATTTGTTTCAGTTTGAAAAAGTGGTCACCATTTACTTCAATTGTATTGGATTTGGCTGCAACACCTCTTATGCAAAAGTGTTTTGTGGGCTCAAACACTTCACCCACCCCTCCATCGTCATAGTGATGAGTAGATAATGAGTGAATTTATCCCTTTAATGGACACTAGATGCTAGTTCCACTGAATTAATGGTGATAGCTCTACAAAGCTTTCCTGTCCATACACACTAATAGTTTGTTTTATTCTAATGCTCAACTCAGTTTCCTACCTGGAACTTTGCTGCACACCATTCTACTCGAGTCTTTTCAAACTGCAGCAGATCACAAAGGGATGTCTGCCATCACGGTCCTGACACATCCAAACCCTCCCAACACACCAGAGGATAACTCCCAGCCATCAGAGCTGCTACGGTCCAATACAGGATAATGACTGGAGCAAAACGGGACTAAATCCATTGTACGATAACTTATCTCTCGAGGTCTGTGGGACTTTTTTTTTTCTTATATGAAGCCTTGCGTTTCATAAACCCCCAAATTCATTTCGCTCCGTATCTGCGCTGATACAGTTTCCCCCGTCAATGAGAGGGAACTCTGGGGCCGGGAGATAGAGGGGGGAGAGAATTCACCGCACACTGCAGGCGTAGCGGGGAGAGCGAGATAAGAATATTAAACGGGAGAAAGAATTGTGTCTTCTCCTCCACACCAATAAGATGCCTGAGGATGGAAATGAAAAGGAAACACTCAACTTCAGTCTCCAAGAATTCATGTCACAGAATTTGGAGGGCAGAGTGTGTTTCCGTGTATTTGTGCATGATAGCGTGAATGTAGAACGGTGACGGAAAATTGTGATGGAATTGTGAAGCATTGTTTATGGAATGCCTCTTCAGTTCAATTATACCGCATATTCAGGAGAAATATCTGAACAGATTGATGTAAAGATGAGAAATATGTTTCTCTGCATGCACATTATTTTTACTTCCTCTAAAAATTATAACCCAAGAATTAATTTAACAATCTTAAATGGCTCCGTACTGATAACATCATCACAAAAATGTTGTTAGATCTACTCCACACAGCGTGATGTGGTAAATGTCTCTTTCTATGAGAATGGCACACCCATCAGGGGCAATTAGGGGTTCAGCATCTTGCCCAAGGTTGGTTAGCAAAAAATCTGGGATTTGAACCCTTGTGGATAGAGGACAACCCGCTCTATCCCCTGAGCCACAGCTGCCCATATGACCAGTAATATCTACTATTGTGTAACGATAGCTTACCTTAAAAAAAACAGTCTAATATCTCTTTCTCTTAAACGGGTAGATTTATGTCACATATGTCCGTATTTAATCAAATGCTTTTGTTGATCTTGATAACTGTGTTGCTTTGAAACATTTGACCCAATACGTGCTAATGTAGGAAGGCAATCTCTGTCAGAAAATTAATCAGTCCCCTTGATGATGACTGCAAATTGCCCGAGATTATGTTGAGACATCTCCATTGCTGCATGCAGGAGGAGGCGACGGCGGCAGAGCTGCCATTTAGCCTGCCAGTGGCCCCAGGCGATCCTTCTTCTCCAGCATTCTTTTTAATGTCTGGCAATTAAAGGCCGTCTAACTGCCTCGGAGTAGAAAAGATGGAGTGAGAGAGAGAGAGAGAGGAAGGGAAGGAAGAGTGACTGAGTGTAAAAGAATGACTTTCAAAGAGTGATGGGAGGGAGAGAGACAAGAAAAAAGCGAAACGCATGGACAGACACTAGATGATGATGGAGGAAAAATAAAGATGGCTTGACTCAGTTTTGTCTCTGAGGTCTGGTCATTTGATACAGCTGAAAATCGAATTTAATTTAACAAGTGGTGCTCACTTATCTACTTTTAAGTGTTGTATATACAATTCAATGAGTTTTCCAGTTTGTACACTACAACTGTTCATCCGGCAAATCCATCCTGCACAGTTTTCAGTCACATTAGCAGTTGACGTCAGTGTGACAGGCACAGCACGTTGGTTTGTTTCACTCAACAGGAGAAATTAATCACACACATTTAGAGTAACAAGAGAACATTTCAGCTCTGCATTAACTACACTCATGCTGCTTTGATGGCCATATTAAAACAACATTTTCAGACTTCTCAATGAGGCTATTTGTTAACTGTTCCAACTTAACTGTCGCGGAAGCTTTCAGGTGAGCATGTATGTAAATGTATACGCAGGCTCTTAATCACCATGAAGAGCAACTCAGCTCTGTGATGTGAAAGATACAAGATCCCTTCATCTGTCGTGGAACTGAGTGGTCCCGGAGTGGAGTCAGCCGCTGGTTATTGGTTGTGAAAGTGTTTTCACCAAACTGGATCTAAACTCTAACTCATTCTTTTGTGCACGTAGCCTACCACAAGGCCGAGCATTTATAGTTGTGCGTGGGTGTGTGAGTCAAGCTGCAATTACACCAAGAACTGCTAGTGGCCATAGAGTTTCTATGCTGGCGATGAGTGTCTGTGCTTCTGGATTCGCTTATTTAGAACTTCTCTGGCGTCTGAGTTTTCCTCAGAACAGTATTATTAAGTGTTACTTAGTGTTACTAAGTGGATCGTGTTGGAGCTGGAGCTGATAAATGTTGGAGAGTAATTATTTCTTTCATTTTTAAAGATAGAAAGAAGAAAAGAAAGACATCGACCGTTTTTGTTCCTTCAACTCAATTATACATACATTACGGCCTGAAGGGCACTCTTGGGTCCCTGCTTTCACCATCTTGTACCTGCTCTTCTCTGAGTTTCATCAGTCCTGTCCTGATCCTGTTCTGAGAATGGTGGCAGTATGTAAAATTTAAAGTACTGACTTTAAGTGTTCTTAAATGTAATTTCTGTGTCACACACATGAAAGCCTTTTTATGGGAATATGCAGAACAATATCCTGCTTCCTGGGCAATTTTTCTTTGGATAAAAATATCATCATTGATGTGTCATTCAAATACTTGTTCCTCCATCAAAGTGCTGTGTTAAAGTGCTCACCGTCAGTGGCAGTTTCATGTAAAGTAAAGCATAATGCAGGCACATTATAAGCAGATTACATCTATTAGTTACTGCTGTGCTGCATGCAAATGGCATGCCCATGGGAGAGCAGAAAATCATTTTAAACTTCAATAAGTTACAAGCGGTGGCAAGTCTACCCATAATCTGCACAAAGCCCCAGGCAGCAATGAGGCTGGATGCAATTAGAGGGAAGTAAAATTCTAGCCCGTAAACAAAGAAAAAATGTAGAAAAGACTGAAAGAGAAATGAACATCGTGGTGTGAGATTACCTCGTCTTTGATGAGGTCGGCTGTTGCTCTTTTTAATTGTCACACTATAATGCTACTGTTTACAGCGAGGATAACTACACCATTTGTTGTACTCTGACAAGGAAAGAATGACTTGAGGCCGACATGTCTTTGTCATATTAAATAATAATACATTTCAATCATAGAGCGATGCAGAGATCCTTGCATGTAACATTCAGCTGTGCAAATTCAACATTCTGAAGAAAGAACCACACAAACTTGGAGGAAATAGGCTATTCTGAGTAGGAAGAAATTCTGGTTGTGGTCGTTGTGCTGCTTTGTTAGCTTTTCAAGAAACACTGAGATTGGTTGAATATTTTGGCTTAAGGAGGATATTATTTTAATACATTAGAAATATTTTCTTCTCAAATAAGAACATAGCGACATTTTTTTATCATTAAATTCTAACTTTATTCTTGTAGTATTATGCCTTTTGGACTTTAGTCTCAAAATCACACTCCCTCGAATTATCCAGCTGGGTGATTTTTAAAAACATATAAAGGATTCTTTAATGTTGTGTTCGCTTTAGATTAAGTCATTTTCAATATCTTTTAAGGCAGTTTAATCTTCAACAATTTCATATTTTACAAACTAAATACTGATCTGCGAGGTATCTCAAAACTCCAGATGTCAGATAGGGCTGTAAAGATTAAAATAATTTCCTCTGTAATAATGTGAAGTGATAGATTATTATTAAAGGTACTTAAGTATATACTGCTCGATGAAACGTTCTTTTCACCATTGATCATTTTTGCTTCACATTACCTCTATAATGTTCTTTAGAGCTCTCGTCTCTAATTTTCATCATGTTCCTGAAAATTGCCTTTATTCATAACTTTGGAGAATTACTAATGTAGCCACTATTGTTCATAAAGTATTACATAATATTATATTTATTATATATAATGGAGTAATATCTGATTATGTGAAGGCATTGAGACCCAAGAGGTTTGTTTATTGATAAAAGTGTGAATCCTGTTTGTCCACGCCTCCAGTCCCCTCCCGTCCTCCTGCTATTGGTCTACTTCACACATACTCGCGTCTGATTGGCTGAAAAACCTTTCCGTCGTCCGTGTTGACGGTAAAACCCGGAAGTGTCAGAGGGAAAAAGTGGTGTGTTGGCATCCTGGAGACATTTCGATCAAAGTGCAATAAAAAGCCGTCGCTCGTGTCCTCACGCCGCGCACACACGTGTCGTTATGCGGGGACACTTCCACTGAGCAACCGGAGCAACGTCAGCAGTGTAAGTCTCTTCGTGAATACAAAGACTTGAGGGCTGCCTCCCCTGAATTACACAGATTTTGTTTGAATTGAACAATAGTCTTAATTTAGCTCTTCTGCAAATCATGTTTGGGATTCTCGTGAATGTTCAGGTCAGAGACAAGAAAAAGTGCATGTGCGTGTGTAGTTGATTTGTAGAGACACAATAGTTTGTCAATGCTGCACAATGCGAACAGATCCAGAGATCTACCTCCAACTAGAAATCACAACCCACAGCTTTGTGTTAACATTTGCATGTACTCAGTTCCCATTTTATAATGTTCACTGTGCTAAAGCTGACACTGCCAAGCATATCTTACTTTAAATGAATCTTACCTTTATAAAAGGTAGATTATACAAGTGATGAAACTGTATAAGAAGTGTTAAAAGAAGTGTTTGAAAAGCTTTGTTGAGGTTTGGAAAACTATAAGAAACAACTCAATATCATGTCCACGTTTATTCATGTCATTCAATCCACATCTGCAGAACATACAGGGGAAAGAAACTGTGGTTCTCAGGACCTGTGTGCACATACAAACAGTTAAAGGACAAAACACACAAAAGCAGCAGTTTGAAAATACAATTACAATAATCAAACATTGCCTGAGTCACTATAATTTTATACAACACCAGAGTGAGGGCTCAGAAAATCTCACAGATTTCTAGAGCCTGAACGTTGACGTCTCTTTGTTCACTTTGTTTGTGAGCGTGGTTCATTCCCCAAAGATGCTCATTTTTAATAATGTAAAACTGAGAAAGGCAGAAAATATTCACATTGAAGAAGCTGGAGTCAGAGATGATCACTCCACATAGTCCAGCTTTTAAAACAAAGCTTCTTTTAAACTTTTATTCTTAATAACAGACTATTATTACTCCCATGAAAGTACGATTTTTCTGCAGGACTACATTAAGCGAGGTGGATCTAATAATATATAATAATATATAATGGTACCTGAGTTTATTTACCCCTGTTCTACTACCAGAGGTAGACTGTTTTGATTCTTTATGTTCTGATACTGATTCAGTTATATCAGCAGATATATATCTGGAAAAGAAATCTGGCATAAAGTCCAAAGATGTTGCTATCAAACCTTAGAGAAAAAAATGCATATAAACATAAACTGTATTATAAATTAACTGTAAATAAAAAAATAACAAAAAATACAAATACATAGAAGTTTAATTAAGAATTTAATTTAATGTAATACAGAAGTTTTCATATCGGCAAACAAAGACTGATACTGATATATCTATTAAAGGATCTTATCAGCTAGATTTTACTGTCCAGCCGATATATCGATCGGGCTCTAGTTACTACATGGTCCTGTTTTCTGTCGTATGTGGATCTCCTGGATTCAAGTCATGAGGAAAATTGTTCTGCACTCGTGGTTTCTAACCCAATATTGTGGATATTCTAGATTCTGTTTTTTAAAATGAACACGTTGGCATGTTAAACTCACCCTTAGTTCAACTTGCAGTGCAGCATGGTGCTACGGCAGGTTTTACTGTGCAGGGGAAGGAACCTATGCTTTTTAATTAGGGGAACATTGATCATGAAAAGCAATTATTAAAGTCAATGTCATACTTTGTCGGGCCTATTTTAGATCCCCAGTAAAGTGAGATTATTATTAACATTGTTAATGACCAGGAAGTATCATTACTCTTGTCATTTATACATGTAAGATTACGCAGTGGTTAAGGAATTTTCCCAACAACGCAATAGTCAGTAGGCTTAGAATTTTTTTGTAATAGTCTGCACACTTCCTTGCTATTTATACCCCACAGCTGCAAATCCAAAATACATCTGTAGACGTGTCAGAGAGGCTTCAGATGGAAAAGGCCTCAATTGAGATACAATGCTATGATGTTGCTCCTCAGTGCAAGTTAGCTGGAAACTCTGAGACGTCCAACAACAAACATTACATTCGGACAATATCCTCTTTTCCTTTTGCCGTCCTCTCACTTCCTTTAATGTGCTGACTCTGGTTTCTAGAGAGAACAATAGCTTTGCAACACATCATCCTTCTCTGCCGGCACCAACTGCATTTGAGATGTAGGTGAAAACAGTGTTTTTTGGTTTCAGGTAAAATTCAGGTGTCCCGTGAGAAGCACAGAGAGACAGCCACGCTCCTTGAACATGCTAATTTGGTCTCTATCCTCTATTCCCCTGCTGCACCTCTAGACTCTCCACCGCTCCTGTTCTTCTTGGATGCACTTACATACTTTTTTATTTCCTTTTCACATTCACCTCTTGTCTGTGCATACGTGCAAACACATTTATTATTATTATTATTATTATTATTCTTTCATTATCTATTATAAACAAAGACCAGCACTACTGATGCAGTGAGAATAAAGGATGTTGGATAGATGCGAGAAAAACACGCCTGGATTATTCTGTTACACAAGCATAGTTACACACTTGCTTAGTTATGTGCACAGTCTAAAGATACTATTTATATTGTTCCTAACTCTTTCTCCTCATGTCTTCCCTGTGAGCCGTCAGGGTATTCAAAGAGAGAGCTCATGGTGTGAAGGGAAATGGTGTTAGACTAAATGAGATGGATAGGAAGTGTGCATACTGTGAGTGTAACACACAGCGAAGGTGGTGAGAATGAATTTAATTATGTCGAGCAGATGTATGTGAAAGATAAACCATCTGTCTGATCAAAACTGACTCCTCTTCGCTATATATGATCGTGTATTAACTTGAATCCTTCCCGCAGATTTCACCAGTTATCTCCGGCTACAGTAGCGGGAACGGAGCAGCGTATTTGCTTTAACTAAATGATCAGGTTTAACACTGAGGCCCAGCTGTGAAATTCTCGCACTCTGAAGGTTGTTTTTCTTCTCATGTCTTGTCAGGCTGAGGAGGGAAAAGATGGGGAAGAAAGATGCCAGTGCGACCAGATTGCCAGTCGAGCAGTACAGAAAACAGATTGGTGAGTATCCCGGTGCTGATCTATCAATTTGTTAATCAATATTAAATCAGCCAACTGTGAAGAAAACAAGTAACAATGTTAGTATTATTAGTTGATAATACTAACAAGATTTAATGAAATGATATGCTTGCTTGTCTTTTCTTTCTCTGAGCTCTCTGGACATTTTCTATATCATATGATTGATGGTTTAATCAAAACATTGATTGATTATCAATATATTGAAACAATAAGTGCTGTAAATGTTTTCATGATGCTTATTGAGAGTTGAGATTTGTCTTCGACTGGCAAAACCATCACTCCCTGCTTCATGTGGGCAACCTCACCACAACACAGGGCTCTGCTCATCGCTCTGTCATAGATACAAGCTAATGTCACTCTTAATAAATCACGCACCATACTGTGTTGCAGACAGCAGCCATGCATTTGTTTCATAACCTGAATGTTTCAAACTGCCAATCAGCTCACATCTTTTTGAAGACATCCACATGTATCACTATGTGAGAATTAGCATGACTTTTTTAACAATTTCAATTGGATCGAATAGAAAATCAAATCAGACTCGCTGGATTATATACATGCTGTGGAAGTAATTACACTTGGAGACAAAGTATCTGAGGTCATTTAATTTATGGACAGTGAATTCCACGACTAAGAATCTGCCCCTTTTGATATCATGTCAGAAACTATTTTGTCATTGTAATACCACCCTAATCCTGCTGTACTTTGTTTCCCTTTCTCTCCCCTTACATCACAAAGGCCTAACTAAGGCAATATGGGAGGTATCAATCAAAATGTTGGGCCCCTTTAGCACGCCAGCTGCGGTTGCTTGTAGAGCGCGGCTCATATCATGTTTTTTTCCTGTTTTCCTCTTACGGAGCGAAAACCAAAAGGTCGCCAGTGGCTAAGCTGGGTAATTGTAAGCAGCTATGACGCAAATGCAATGTTCTCCTCATAGGTTTTGCTTCACATCCCAGGAGGGGTATATTGTGCACGAGGATTCTGACTGTGTTCTTATTAGATACAAAAGGACAGCAATTTTTGCACAAAATAAATACTGGAACTCCAGCACTGGACTGAAGAAGGGGTGACGTAAGTGAGCACAAAGAGAGAATGAGTTCCTCCATAGAAATGGCAATAATCACAGCTATTGAGATGAGCTAAAGACACAATCCAGAGGATTCAAGTGACAAGACTAACAGGACACCTTGGATGTCGATGGCTAATTGTATCCATGGTGACCTCCACATCATCCTGTGACACAGGCCATACGATAAGAGCCATCAAGACATTTTTGGATTATGATGGTGTCAAAGTACATTAACAGCGACTTTATAAATAAGCAGACCAGCTTGTTTTAGAATTCATGTTTTAGCTTATGCCAACTGTTTGAGAGTAACTATGATTTCTTAAGTCTGGAGAACAAGAACAGGTCATCCTCACCACTCAGACATGGCCTTCGTGCTGAGGATTATTCTGGACGCTTGGAATTTCTTGTGGAGAGGAGTATGCTTCACAAACTGTTGATGAACATCTGATATTTTATCGATCTGTTTTCAGTTTTTATAGGAAGTGAGGGATTGAGCAAGCAGTTAATTTGCTCTACGAATTCACAACCCACCTGCTGAAACTTGTGTCAGTCATGACATTGTTGTGGTTCACTTCCTCCAGTCGACGGCTGTTTGTTGGCCCCTGGTGATTCACATCCTCTGACTTTCCCAGGTTTCACATTTCCCAGTGCTACCTTAGTGTTAATAAGGCTCATGAGATGTCTCTTTTTTTGCACGACGCATTGTTACACAGACCGTGATTTTTTATTTTATGTGTAATTATCCAGCCTTCATTATCTGGGGTCTGATGAAGCAGTGTGACGGTTGCATTTGTTTTCCTATTGGGACAGAAAAATAGGATTATTTGGTCTTCGGATAACTATCCCTATCCTGCTCCTAGAAAAAAAGATGGACAACGTGTATCCACTTCCTCCTACTTTCCAGAATTGAAGTCAAAGTGTCCAGAGTAATAACGCTGCCATTTTGTGCATTGCGAGCCTGAGTCTGCAGAGTGGCGATAGGGGATAGAGCAGCAGTATTGAGATATCGATGATGCACACGTTTTGATGTAATTATTAACTAGTATAAAACATCAGTGTGATAAGAACTACCTAAAATGACAGCAACCATCTTTTAGAATTTTATTTGATGTTTCCAAACAAATGACATGAAATAACAAGCGTCATACCTGTTTATTTTTCCAATTTTCTTCCTTCCCATACAGTCTTTTTCTTTCTCAGCACATCTCATCAATAACAAAAATATGCAGCACAAGTGGTGGGGACACTTTGGTCCTCTCTCCCCCTACACTTTCCTACAAACCCTCAATTTCAATTTTTCAAAAGAACGGCCATCAGGCAATTTCCCTGAACCACTGTTTAACAGCAGAGGTGGAAAAACAGTGAGAGGGGGAAAATGACAGAGTGGAGGAAAGTGAAATCTTCAACTATAGCACGGGGCTGGGTCTTCTGAGAGCTGGAACGGGCCACTCATGGTAATTTGAACTCACAATAGGGTGCCTTATTCAGCGCGCAACAGCAGTAGTCCAGACTGGATGTTGAGCTGTACCATCATCTCTGCTGGAGTGCTTTTGTCATGTCAGGTGCCATCAAGCGGCCACTGTTCACACTCTCTTTTTAAATACCATTATTAGGCCTGTTATAATTGACTGTGCCAAGCTGCCCTCAGGAGAACCAGAGCTTTAGTGTTTTTACATGGAAGTGCAAGTGGTCACTGCTCAAGTTAAGATTGCTACTGCCGCTGAACAACCAATGGAAAATTATCAGCATATAAAGACACCTACAATTTCAGGTGCAGAATAGCAAAATTATTAGCTTTTAGGAAGAGAAGTGAAATGTGATAAATTTAAATTTAGGTGAAATATTTCACTTCCATCTGTAGTCGGGCTGTAGTATATCCTCAAGTATATAGATTGCAAATAATCACTTATTGTATTGTGCCACCACCTTAGATTTGACCTCTCCTCTCCTCCTCTGACTTGATGCAAAGGACAAGGCTTACATTTCTTCCATGTGTCTGGCATCAGCCCTGCAGTTCCACTACCAGGCATTCTGTCAGACGCCAGGGATCTGCACCATGTGGTCACCCCTCGATTTGGCCGCCATGCCAGATAGACACAGAAGCAAAGCAAAGCGAGGCGAACTGTCAGACACACTGTCAGTGCATCGCCCGAATGGTCCCAGGCTTCTCAGAGAGAGAGAGATGGTGGACTGTCTGTCCAAATCACACCATCACCCTCCATGTAATGCATATGCATGACAACTCGTCTCCGCAGACACAAACATAGCACGTGTCCTGAATTCCTCGGGCATGTTATGCGTTTCTCTTCACAGACTTTTGGGCTTGTTTCTTGTAGTTTTGCCTTCACGTCAGTTGTGACTAGCTTTTTAAACATTACAGCACTGACTAGATGTTATGCAGACCAGGAAACACAATTTGATGGAAACTAACAAATGGATAAATGGCAATAGAGAGAATTTGTCTGCTTCACCAAAAACTGGTCATTACTAAGATACAGTAACCCTTCTCAAAGAAGGTTTAATGCACTGTCCTGAAACGGGTTCTACCAGTTTATGTTTCAGAGTTTTGGTTCGAGAATGTAAACTTGCATTATAGTCAAACAGCACTGTATATGGCGCACACATTAACTACTCATGTTTCTTTTCCTTTCGGACAAAATGCGATCCTCTTTTGGCGTCATTTTAATGGCTGGATTGCGTGACACACAAATCACATACCTTTCCGCCCTCCTTCAATCACGTGGCTAATTTTAGCTAATACCCCCTACCTACCACTTTATGCTAAGCAGAACAAAAGATCAAGATGAAAACTGATCCCTCCTCAGATGCCATTTATAGCCAGTTGACGCAATGAGGAAAAAACATGAATAGTACTACAGTAAGTTGCGTGGGAGGTGAGGGCCGCTTTCACTTTTCTCTTGTCCTCCTGACACGAAAGCAGTGATAACTTCAGTGAAAGGCGCTCTCAGGGAAGCCTCTCAGCAGGCACTCTCGGCCACCTTGCAAGGGCTAATGTTCCTCTGAGACACAGCATTGTTGTCGCTGTACCGGAGGACAGTGATGCCTTTTCAGCATGGCAGACAGAAGCAGCGAGGGATGGGAGGACAGCGTGTAGCCCAGCGCAGATAGATAATTGGTGACAGAAAGTGTCTACAGCACTCGTGCAGCAGGGGGAACAGCGATGACAAATAGGAGTGCTCATAATCCCAATGCAATATCATCAGGATTGTTGGTGTGTTTATGTGTGTGTGCATGTATACATTTGTGTGCAGGCTGCAGACCCACGGTAAAAAATAACCAAGGGAGTTATACAACAACACTTCAATACCTTACACAGTAATTCAGCATTTTTCCTCCATATAAGCAATTGATACTGATTTTGCTCCAGTTAAAAATGTATTCTTTCCAGAGCGTTATAAGTGAATTGGGTTTTGATGATTATTTGCATATTAACGTAATTTTTCCACAAACAAAACTTAATACCATGAGTGGAGAGAAAGTACGGCTGCTGTGGAAGTGTTTTCCATTATCATTATTGCACATATGGAATGCCAACATGTCCACATATAGGATGTAACCATCAACTAATTATCACTTAACAAGTTTTTCAGCCCCCTGTGCCTGTGGATTGACCGAGCTCTTTCATAGTAGATGAGTAGGAGTAACGCAGGATTTACAGTCTGTCTTTATAGCAGCCATGTGAGGCTAATTAATTTCAACAAATGCTACACGCAAGACAAGGTAATATTTTGAATGTTGGTGTCACTGTGTTTTTATGTAGCTTTCTGCAGCCTCACATATTCACAACCAGCCATTTTGCTGCCGGAGAGTCCTTGCACACATTTCTGTGAATGGAGAGCAACCTGAGGTGCCCTCCAATCAAATTTCCACCTCTCCACTTTCTGACAAGTGGAGGAGACATCCAGTGGCCCTCCTAATGAATTCCCACCAGCTCACTGTCTGCTCCTGGCAACATGTTCCCCATTTCTATTAGCCCTCCTCTGAGTCAGAGGGAGGTGAAGGAGGAGTCTGTGACCAGGAGGGATGAAGGGAGAGATAGCAATTGAGTGCAAGATCTCAGAAAAAAATAGAAGCAGGGGGAGTGAGATGGTTGGAAAAGAGAAAGTGTGTGTGTGGTATGCAGCTCTGTCTTTGTTTCCAGAAACACAACATGCACACAAATCATACCCACCTCTCACATTTTCACTGCTTTCTCTCCGCCGAATCATCCAGATGGATTTTGAAGTTTTTACCTCCTTTCGCTCCTCTTGTTCTCTCTGTCAATGTATATGAGGCTTAATTAGGTGGAGGGTAAAGTGGATTATGCGACTGAGAAAACCTTGAGGCTGATCTCTGTCTGTCACACACATATTTCTGTATTTGTCCTCAGTCTTTATGAGGATTATTCATGGTTTCACTGCACATCTTCGTCAGAATTGCATACCTAACCTCAGCTCTCGCCCCCTAATTGTAATCAAATCCTGTAAATCCTTAATGGAAGTCTGAACAATATCATCTTTAGGGACTATTATATATATGTATTATATCATATTTGTATATTATTAACTCACAATCTTAGTACTTCAAATGGGTTCTCTCAAAAATAGAAATATAAGAAGACACAAACACAGACACACAGACACACAAACACACAAACACACGGACACTGTTCACCAAGCTGTTGCCTTTCCACCCCATTGTTAGCAAAGTTCCTTTTCCTGCAGTGTGTTGTGTCTAATTAAAGGCAGCCAGCTCTGCAGCGTGTGAAACACACACATACACACACACACACACACATAGATAGATAGATAGATATGTACTTTATTGATCCTGAGGGAAATTTAGGTGATTAGTTTGCCAAAAATACTATTGAGGGTTGAGCCTTGGGATTTTTATTATTTATTAATCATGTGATTATATTACAATTTTCAGTATAAGTGAAAACACTGAGCAGGCTTTGAGCTCCTTCATCACTGACTCTATTTCAATATTTTGTAAATCTTAAACTTGTATTTTTTGTTGTTCGGAGCACAGACGACACAAATCTTATTTTTTTCAAAATTAAAGTCATGGTTTTGCTTTCATTCGATTTACGTCTTCCTATTTCTTCTCTCTCTCAGGTAAGCAGGACTACAAAAAGACAAAAACGGTCTTGAAGGCCACACGGCTGAAAGCTGAAGCGAAGAAGAATTCCTCTGGATTCAGGGTGAGACTCGCCTGGACTTTACTTTCTGTTTCACATTACTGACGTCTGCTATCTGCATGTCTTCTTCTCTTTCTGCCTGCCTGTCCGTCCTGGTCCATCTGCTTGTCTGTCTCTCTGCCAACCATCTTCTTTCCATTTCTCTGTCTGCCTGTTTCAGAGTGTGTCTCACTAGATCACTTTTCACATCCTCTACTCAATCATAACTTACTATAGACCTTATGGGAATGTAGCAATATACATCCACCTGGACTGATATGACGTGGGGCCCTGCCAATCTGCTGAAGATCTGTGAAAAGTGTTGAAAACTTGAGGAAAAGAGGGATCTCCGTGGAATAAAGTTTACAGTCCTCTAACATATCTGCAAGGAAGCAGACATAACTCACAGCTTTTTAACACACAGTGAATTCCTGGAAGGATTAAATGTTAAAAGAGCTTTGGGGAGGGGACGAGGAGAGAAAGTGGGAGAAGCAAGGGAATACTAAAAGCAGAGAGGAATAAGAGACAAAGAGAAAATAAGAAAGTGATAAGATAGAATTGAGTAATGTGAAAGTAAAGGGAGGTGAGGGTGTTGCCAGGGCAGAGAAATGCGTCTCTCTCCGTTGCTTTGTCACACTGCAGCGATTAGAAGCTGTTGTGCAGGCGAAGATGGATGACACCACGTTTATCACTCTGCCTGCTTTTGCTTTCCCTCGTTCATTTGGCTCAGCAATAAAGAATTTTACTATTCCAAGGTTGTTTTTTTTTGCACAGAGTGAGCTCCTGCAAATTAAATCTACAGTTTGGTGATTTTTATATTTGTTTTTAAGTGAGAGTTAAATAATTCACGTATGTCCGCTGTTATTTTTGTAGAGTTTCTTTTCCTATGCAACATTCAAAAACCGTCTTCTGTTTCCACTTCATCTTTAAGCGTCAGATTGTATGTCGTACACAGAGATGAACAAATCACAGTGAGGATTTAACACTGGGTGAAATGGTCAGGTTTTAAAATATGCATCTCTTAGACACGCAAGGCCTCATTAAGCACGTCTTTAATCCAATTAGATTAGTCCATATCTTGAAATATTGATATTGCTCATGAATAATTCAGTTTTTTTCACGCCCAAGATGAGGGGAATTTTCAGAGGTTGGATTAAAAATACCTCTGGGACGAAGATATTAAACCGACGCAGACCTCTTGGCCCCCGAGTTCGATTGAAATTCAGCCCAGATGTAATGGATATTTGGTCACGCTTGCTTTGCCATTGAGTCTTCTTTGGTGTTTTATAAAGTTGTGATTTTTACACAGCTCTGTGATGAGAGTAGAACCCCCCCCCACACACACACACACACACACACACACACACACACACACACACACACACACACACACACACACACACACACACACACCCTCCTCCTAACTTTTGGTTTTTGGCAACAATGGTTTATATAGATATGTTGCTTTATGGGTAATTCTCCTCTCCTCCTCCTCCTTTCTCTTCTTCTTCCCTGGTTCTCTTCTCTCCTAATCATCCTCCTCCTTCTACTTCTTCTTCTTCTCCTTCCCTGGGTAAGATTTTTTGTTTTTTTTGGCAACGATGGTTTATCCAGACATGTTGCTTTCTTCTGTCTCCTTCTGTCTTCTTCTCTCGTCATCCTCTTCCTTCTTCTCCGTCTTCTCCCTGGTTAAGATGCTGGTCTCAGATGCAGCTGGCATCTCAGAAGGGCCAGCAGACATGGCGGGCACAGAGAATGCGGCAGCTGCCAGGGCAGGCTGTCTCAGGGCTGTCCCAGTGGCGGGGCAGTCTGGTAAAAGTTGGCAGAGATAAGATGGAAAGACTAGGAAAAGAGAGAGCATGGAAGGGAGAACTTCTGTTCCTGCAACAGTGATCTTGTCAGGGTTGCACAAAAAAATGCTGAGAAGTGGAGTAGAGCAGCCACCTGTTGCACAAGAACCTGTTTTCATACACAAATTGAGTCGGGGTATTTTTCTGTCGTGGTGTCCGTTACCTGGATGCAAAGCTGCGGCTCTTTCTGAGTAGTGGATGGCTTGAGGTCAGGACGGCAGAGATGAAGGACCTGGCAGGGAGTCTTGTTCCAGCCTCTCTTCAGGTTGCTCAGGGAAGAGGAAGCACCTTGGAAGTCGCTCCAGCACACGAGCATGCAGCACAGGAAACGAGCCTGCTGTCTTGTCTAATTGGCACACTAGCCTTCTGTTCAGTTCTGCACTGTTCTCTCTCAGTCTTGTTTAGCTGCTGAGCTGAGTTCGGAAAAAAACTTCTTGGAATTAGCCGAGGATGGAGGCTACCAGCTGTTATTTGTGAATATATATGATAAATAATACCATATAGAACAGAAATATAAACATGTTTACTTGTTTTATGAATCCACCCAATTTCCTCTAGTCAGTTTTTGGTGGCACTATGCCATAAAAACCCATTTACTCTGGCATGAAGCTGCAGGTTTTATTTTGAAAGAGTAATTCTGATTGAGATGTGTAGGAGTTATTAAGCACCATTCAAAGTCATTGGTAACTAGACGTCACTAGAACTCAGTAGAGTACTTATCCTCCATCAAAGCCAAATGGTTTCCTTATTAAACCCCATTTAAAATCAGTAGCTCCAGATTTTCACACTCTTTAAATATCTTTAAATATCAGTCTCCCTGAATTATTCCTTGTGCAATTTCAAATAACGCCCATTTTCACAATTCGATCCTTCTTGGCCCAGGTCCAATCCTTTCACCAAGTTTCGTGGAAATGTGTTAAGTAGTTCTTACGTAATCCTGCTCACAAACAAACCAAACAATGGACCGGGGTGAAAACATAATCGCCATGGTGCAGGTAATAAACTAAAAGAAGTAAAAAGTTTCAGTGTAAACTGTGACAGATGCTGTGTTGAAAACCGGGACCCTAACAGCAACATCTGCTTCTGAAGCCGGCTTCTGGATTCGTTATCTGTGCCGGCCATTAGGTTTATGAGGCCTGTTCACACTTTTTAGTTGGTGAGCAGCGTTGCCAGTTAGCACATGGGAATTTGAAGATTTTTATTGCCTTTTATGCTTTTTGATTTACTACAAGCTTCATGAAAGAGTTGAGATAGTTGTGATAAGGCTTGTCCTGCTCAGAGTGGTTTAAGTGTTCATATAGCATGTGAACAGTACAGGGCTATATAAAACTTATTTTCAATTGTTTCACTGAAGATAATCAGATTTAAACTCAGTACATGTGTGACCTATAGCTACAATTGATAACAGCAGTTATGATGAGTGAGATTTTTGTTGACAGTAGCCCACTAATCATTCAGGGGACAGAACATTATGAAAAAAAAATTTGGATAATCAATCAATCGGCATTTTTTCAGTGTTTTCATTCCTGGTAAATGAAATGGTTATTTGAACATTTACTTTTGAGCCCTGGGAAGTTGTGGAGTTCTTTTGCAGTTTTCAGAATAATTAATCGAAAGAAAAATGAATACAGAAAATAATTATTGGTTGAACCCCTGCAAAAGACATTGAGTGAAGTGTTAGAGAAGGTAATGTGATTTGCTCCAGCTCCCCCTGTGACGCTTAAGGATAAATGGTAAACGTATGTATGGTAAATGATAGATATGGATGGACGACTTGTTCCTGTTATTTGAACAGATGAGACATTCTTACCATCCTCAGATCAAATGCAGCAGCAGTAGCTTGTGCCTGTGTGCCACCTACATACAGTTGCAAATACTCTGAAACTCAGTCTGCACATACAGACTGACGTACATACACTTATAGTTGTATATGTGTATATACACACAATCCAGCCCAGGAGCAGAATAAAAGGCGAGTCGAGGGGATGTTGAGCTGTGGCTTGTCACCAGGGTGACGGAGACCCAGCTCCCAGCATGCATACGTGTGCTGCAGCTGTCGGTGCTGAGAAAGCGACATGATGAAGATGATGATGTGCCTGGGCCCCATCCAGGGATCTCCATCAGAATGTGGGCAGAGAGCCTGTGTGTTTGTCTCTGAGTGTGTGTGTGTCTGTGTGTGTCTGTGTGTCTGTGTGTGTGTGTGTGGGCGCACAGAAATGTGTTTTTTGAGACGAGGCAAGAGTCAACACAGTAGGCCACTCTCCTCGAAAACAATGATCTCAATCAAGTGCAGGTGCTTTCTACCACTCGAGTGTTTTCACCAAAACTCCTCCAGCTTGTTTTCACAGACAAGTCAGTGCAACCAGCTGTTCTCTCTCTCCCTCTCTCTCTCTCTCTCTAAAACCCGAAGCAAAGAACGAGGGAAGAAAAAAAAAAAGGCTGGATTGTAATTTTGTGCATCCTTGTGTTTCAGCGCTCACCTACGTCAGAAGCACAGCATTTCCTATGCGATCTCGTCGACGGAATTACAAATGCTCCACTTTGTCATGTTTTTTCAAAGCTGTGAGGGAGCACAATAAAAGCAGAGAAAAAACAATCAAGGCTCCATGATTTGATAACAATTCTCTTTTTCTCTGAGGCCCAGGCAAAATAGAAAAGTAAATCAAGCGGTTGGAGCCTGGCGGTTAATATATGAAACTAAAGTGCATGAAATTTAAAAGTTTTCCAATTAAGCGGGGGACTTAAAGCTGTTTGGAGGCTGTCGGGATGTAGATAAATGTGGGCTGAGGCTAATGAAGACCAATGCTGCTGATGACTAGGCACTACAACATGTACACAGATAGCTGAGGATGCCGTGACGCCTTTTAATTGTCGTCCCCACCACCACCGCAGCCACCACTACCCCCTTTCGTCGGAGTGGAATTATTATTAGGCCCCCACCACCCCTCATTTGTGCCAGGCCTTATCTCCAACTTGTTTTCTCCCTCTCTTGTTTTTCATTCTGTCTTCTCTCTCGCCACTGGCTTGAATTTTCCATCGTCTGTTTGCTAGAACCGAACTGATGTTTCCAGAAATTGTCATTCTTTTGTATTTATCAGTCTTAGTTCTTTCTTTCTCGTCTCGTTTTCTTCCTTTCTGTTTGTCATTTTTCTCTCGCCGTGACCTCGTATCACCTCCGTCCATTACTCATGAATACAAAGCATAATGGGACATTACCGGCTGATTCTGTTTCAATTGTTCAGGTAGTTTTCCCCTCAAGTGTCTTTAAGACACCATTAATAGAAGATTGAAATTATAGATAACATATTCAAGTGAATATCTAATCACGTTTTGAATTCACTTGTCATTTCATTTTTATTGTCGTGGCCCATTTTTCATGTAAAAATTTCCATTTCCATGTTCAATTCCATTTTTTTAATAACCTCCAATCAGACTGTACTCTCCACTCTTTTAAAGCCCTCCAAGCTCTCCAGTGTTGATTAGAAAGTTTGCTGCTAATGAGTTCTCTTGATAAAAGAGTAACTGGCATTGTTCAATACTCTGAGTGGCCCTAATGAAACTCCAGCTGATGAAGATTGTAATCGTGCGAGCGCCACATAATGAACGAGCGCTCCAAATTCCCATTTTCAAGTTGAATGCCACTCCTCTGGAAAGCCTCAATTTGTTTGACAATTAACCAATAGAAAATCTACACACAAAAAAGAGGGAGAGAGAGGAAATAGGCTGTTTTGTTGAAGAAAGTTTAATTTAGCTGTAAAAATGTCAGGAGACTGATTGCAGATAGAATAGATTATTATAGAGCAGTCACTCAAAGGTCTTTTTCCTTGATGTTTTGCTCCCTAGAATGTGGATGTCTTTGCATCCAGAGAAAACCTGAAACTGATTTATTATTCATTCCTCTTCACAAATATGCAAAGTTCTGTCACACTTTACTGAAGCTAAACAAGAAAAACACAAAAGAGTCTATCTTAGTAGAACAACAGCCATCCTAAAGATGGTATGTTCTCACCAAACACGATTAACGGGAATATTTGCCTGTTGTCATGTGTTTGTCTTTTTAAGAACATAGTTTTTTCTCTCCTCAGGACGCGTTCCTCGTCATCGCCGCGATCGTGTTGTTTGTTCTCTGCCTCTACGCCTTCTTCTACCTCAACCTGAGCACCGAGATCAACCTAGACGGGGACGAAGATTAATAAGAGGTGGACTGCACGCTGGGAACTTTCTTATTTTATGTTACAGCCACAAAATCATACCCAGGCTTCAGTTTGTGAGCAGTGGACACACTTTGTTATTGACACATTGACAATGAACTGTCTCTTCATGAGGGAATCCATTTAACAATGTAAGTTTCAGGCCATTTTGAGATTTGACAAACATTTTCTATTGTCCCTTGATTTTCAGTGTGTGAGCATACAATGAAACTGCAGTAATTACTGTACTGACAATAATGCTATGGTTTTAAATCCATAAATAGTATTTTTTTCTTACCTTTTCTATCATTCCGCTACAAATTCTACTTTAGGCAATGAAACTGAGCATCCTCTCACACAAGTCTTCCAAACTGCAGTCGAGCTCCAGCTCTGTTAATCATATTCCGCCGTGTCACGTCCCACTGTTTTCTCCACTAATAGAAAAATGTAAATCTCCCGTGGAACCTCTCGTCACATCAAGACAAACACTTGCCTCACATTCCAGTGCACAAACCTCTCCTCGCGGATAGCCGGAGATCACAAAGTGTGAGATTAGAATCCACAAAGCCCTCGTTCTGATTGAACATGTGTGCGGAATACAGAGATACGCATTGTACCTGCAGCACATACATGCAGCACTTAGACAGACATCCTCTGGATTAGCATTACAAATATGAGGCTGTTCTTTCATTTGAATGGAAATTACAGACATGACTGACGCATGCTGCTCATAAGGAACACCTTGATGATTTTCCTCTCGGCAAATGTATGTGTTGTTGACCCCTTTACAGTGTGAAACGTACTCTATAGAACGAGATATCAATAGGTTTTTTTTTTTCCACTTCAATGTCAGGGTCTTTTTTATTGAGTCCACAAGCCATTTTGAAATGATATATTTTTTTGCATTTAATTATCACTTTCTGCTGCAAGCACACATTTCAGCCCTAACTAGCAATACCAGTGCTGTTTTCTAAAAGCCAATCGATGCATTATTTTGGAAACGTCTTTTAATGCATAAAAGGCCGATACCAAAAACACAAGAGGCCTTGTGACTTCTTTCATTCCGAACATGTCTTTTTTTCTTTTCCATTGAGTCTTTTCTTAAAAAACAAGTCTTAACATCTGTGTCCGACTGTGTTCTGCGGCTCGAAATACGAGACAGATTTGGTGCTTTCAGTTTCTGCATTTTCTCCCATGACCTCCTGACCTCTTGTAAAAGACTACATGTCAAAGAAACCATTATGATAAGCATGCACCCGTACCCTCACCATGGGGCTTTTATCAGGCCTCGGTACATCCACGCACCCCCCACCCCTTGCTTGTGTAACAATAGACAGCCCGGGCCCTAATAGACCTTCATACATAACACCTGTTATCTAAAAGGTCACTGTTATCAAATACAAGAGCTCTGACATCAGCACGGTGATAAGGATCGCAGCACCATGAGCCATGTTTGGCAAGATGAGATGCAAACTATTCTTCACAGCAGTGTAATGATTAGTGCTGTTTTGAATTGGTTTGAATACACATTCTACAGTTTGCTTTGTTGCTATGGTTCAGTTACTGGATGCTGTGTGATGTTTATCAATTACAATTCTATTTTTCTTTTGTTAAATTGATTTTACTCAAAAGGATGAATCTCTTCATAATTAGAATATGTATAATGTAAAAAAAACATTAAAAAAACTCTTTTCTGCTTTGATTAATTTATTTGAATGAATGTTTTGTGATCTTGATCATGAACAAACCTGTGTGTGTTACCTGGCTGTGAAAAGAATAGCGTCATGTATACATTTCAGTTTTTTCAGCTTTCTAAATCAGGTTCCTTTAGTGCAGAGGTTCATAAACTTTTCAGCTCATGACCCCCAAATTAACCCTGCCAAAGATTTGCCAAAAGATAATGATATCATTGAGTTCACGAAAAATATTCACCTACGTGCACATGTTGCAATGTTTCCTGCTGTAGCTGTTGTTATCACATAGAGACAAAGATGGTAGTGTTTTTTTTCTTGTAAGAATCATGGTTCAGATATTTAAGTGATTTAAAATTGTATTCTATTTCTGGGAATCATCTCGAGACCCACCAGGGGGTCTCAACCTTTGGGAACCACTGCTTTTACTCGTGACTTTTTTTTCAAATCCTTGTGCAAATCTAAAGCCACTTATGTGTCAAAGACATCACTGTAATTGCAAATATTAAATTATATGTAAGAAGGGATTGTATTTAAACAGAATTACAGCTGATTGGGTTGGGCATAGTTAAGGTAACGCCTTGATATTAACTTTAACTACCGGTAATGTTTTATTCTTCTTTATTCCTAAAGGTTTATATTTAGCTGTTAAATGCAGGTGTAGTCGTTACGTCAAGTCTTAAAAGTTAATGAATAAAAAATCCTTGCCTCGATTTACTTTTATGAGCTAAAAGCTCGCCATTATTTCCTCTTAGATCGCTTTATTTCCAGGCTATAAACAACAGTGCTCTATCAGTGATGGGTTATTAAATTGTATTGACTTCACTGGGCTGCATGTCGTGTCATGGCCTTTCCTTATTAAGAGCCAATCTGCTGAAGCGTCAACAAGTCAGAGTGAAGATGTTGACACAGGATTCCCTCAGTGAGAAGCTGCAGGAGATGGGAGGTATGTATTATAATCTACACACAATGACAAAAGGACACAGGTTGTGACGTCAGTGCATGTCATGTGACACATCTGCTAATTGACTTCTGTTTGCAGGAAGTCGAACAGAGGAAATTAATCAGGCAGCAGCAGCAGCAGCGTCTGAGTGTTTAGCGCGACCTCAACAGTCTTCCACAAGAGTTGGAACTCGCTGAAGCTTTACCCACCATCCTGTGACAAATGAGCTCGACGCCACGCACCCAAATCCCACTCATTAGTCATGTGAGGTATGTCACCAAGAATAATTACACTTAGCCCAAAACGTGGTCATGCACCAACATACACACACATTGAAAACCTGTAATGTTGCCTGCACTTTCCCACACTTAAGGCTGTAAGAAATATTCTCATACATGCGTGGCTGTTAACCGAGACATGAATCATAATTATGACTCCCCGTGAACCAGACACCACGTGCTTGGAGCATGCTGGCTTTGGCTTGCATGGTATTTGCTTTTGATATATACAAACACATGCATTTTGTCACATTTTGTGTCTCCGCCATGACGTCGTGTGAACACAAGTGCTCACTGACCTCTGCGTATTTTCTGTTTAGTTTCTAAGATGGCGTTTACCTCTGTTTTGGTGCCTTGTGAGGCTGTGTGTGTGTGTGTGTGTGTGTGTGTGTGTGTGTGTACTTTAGCATGCAGAGGGCTTGTGCAGCCACTTTCCTCCGTGTGTGTGTGTGTGTATTTTCAATATTCACAACCGTGCCTCTAGCCATGCTCCAGTGGAGCGCTCAGTCTCTCTGACGGACCGGTGAGAAGTGAGGAGGGTCAGTCCCGCCAGGAGCTCATTTAGTCCCTATCTCTATCAAACACACACACACACACACACACACACACACACACACACACACACACACACATTCCCGCTGCAAGCCACTCTGACAGGGAGACTCATGGCTCCCGCTGTCACACACACACACACACACACACACACACACACACACACACACACACACACANCACACACACACACACACACACACACACACACACACACACACACACTGCTGTGCTCCCATTAAGGAGATGTATTGAGAAGACAGGACTGATGATGCATGTCACAGAGTCGGCCCACTACTGTTATAGTCTTACACACAATGTCTCCTCCCTCTTTTTCTTCCCCCTTCTCATTGATTTGCTCATTTACTGCACATTAGTCACTGCCTCTGCAATTCTGCTTAAAAATTTAAATATGTAGATTTCTATGATGTAAGGGACTTTAGAGTCTGAGTGTTACAAGGACCGTGGACTGAGAAGATAAAATGTTCGTCACTGTGGTGGGTTGTATATTTGTAGCTCATTTATTAAGTTACAGACTGATGTTATTATCTGAGGGCAGCAAGTCGCCTCACAACAAGAAGGTTCCCGGTTCGAATGGAGTTTGCTTGTTCTCCTTGTTTCTGAGTGGATAATCCCGCTGCCTCCCACAATCCAAAGACATGAACCTTGGGTTAATTGCAGACTCTATGTTGACCCTGCTATACACTGCTGACCTGTCTAGGATGTGCCCCACCTTTCGCTCCCCTGGCAACCGTCACGGGATAAGCCGTAGAGATGATGGATGGTTGCATCATTCCTTGAAGATTTTTATGCAACAATTTTCCCATTGTCTGTATATATGTGATATTCAGAATTGTTCTGCCTTTGACCTACAAATGTACTTCCTACACCCCCCCCCCCTCCAACCAGAAGCATGTAACAGCAGATTTAATGCGAGAACAACCATGACCACTTCAATGCTGAACTTGACAGTAATACTTTGGTGTTTAATTCTCGGCCGACCTCCGTTGCCGCTGTGTCTGTTATGAATGCATTAGCAGGATTGTGCTGTGCTGTAGATTAGAAACTCCCCCGTGCTTTGTGAGGTGTGTGGTAATGCCAGACTTAGTGGATTCTGCTGCGAATCACATCCTCCCATCGTCGTCTTAATCCCTGATGCGCTGCCTAATGACACAGAGACTGAAGAGCTCGGTGGGAGAGCGGGGAAAGGCAGGGAGGGCAGGGAGAAAGACACAAAAATACTTCTGCTGATAGTAAAGTATGACTTTGTCTTATTGGCTGGGAGTGAAGACGTCACAGATCTGTCTCTATGCTGCGATTTGAAGGGAATGCGTATGTGCAAGTTTTTTCTTTTTTCATTTGTGTGTGTGTTTACAACTGCTGCATCCATAATCAGTGTCATGAGCAGATCGAGCAGGTGCTCAACAGGTGTGCTCTCTGATAGCAGTCCCTCTCCATTTGCCTGTCTGTCCCTCCATGTTTGCACATGCTCATTGTGTTCTCCATAGAAGAACACCTGGGCTTTACCGCACCTGGGCTTGTTGCCCAGTCCTCTGTCTAACGCATGCACGCGCACACACACACACACAGGAACACACACACACAGACAGGAACACAGCCAGTTCCTGTTACTGGCTAAAGCAGGAAGCAGCAGCTGACATCCTATCCTTCAGTTCCCAGGAGACTCAACACCCTGAGTAAATCATCCAACTCTGAACCACTCGAGACCGACACATCTGGGAATCAGGCCTTTTGTAAACAGCAGTTAAATGGAGAGTGAAAGCACTGAGGAGTCTGTTTGCACATTAAACTAACAACTATTTGCGTCTGTTGAATGCTCTGAGGCTGATTGTTTTGAGCGATCATTTGTTTTTGCCTTTTAAGAGTGGTACATCATCAAAAACAACAACGTGCATCACAGCTTTCTGAGCTCATTTTCAGTGAATGCGCCTCAGTGGCAGATGCCAAACTTGCCCATGGCTTTGTTTTGATCAGCAGACTTTTTCAAAGCAACAGAGATGACTTTAGTTTTTTTAAATAGTAAAAGGAGTGAGCAATTTTTGTTACAGAAACTTTAAAATATTCTTCAATGGTCTCTGGAAATAAAACAGGTACATGCCAGTTTTAAGTGACTTTCAGGATTATTCAGTATCTGGCTTTTCAGAATGGAAAGGTCAGCACAGTGTGAGGCCTCCAAGAAATTGAGTTTTTGTGTTTCTCGCTGTGCTGTTTTTTTGGCGGTGCACTGGTGTGCGTGGGATAACCTGAGGGAGCAACACCAACAGGTTTCCCTGTGGTTCTTTTGGTTTGTTGTGGTTTTTCCGGGAATAAGTAAGAAGATCTCAGCTTCCCCCGCTTCCTCTGTGAATCACTGTTCCAGAGAGCAGGCGAGCACTGTTGCATGCTGATGCGTTCAAGTAGGATAGTGGTTCACCTGAATGTTTCTCAACCATCAGGCTTTCCCATTAGCACCTAGTTTAGAAAAGGTTCAGTAATTCAACCTTTAACTGGTGCAGTGGTTGCTTCTCTTGTGTTCTCACTTAAAACTCTTAGATTTCATTGTTTGTAGAGCATTTGTTTGTTTGTGATTTGACACTTGCAGTTGCTGAAGTATTAATGCCAGATTTTTTCCACCACTGACTCCAGGTTTGTACCTCAATACATACTTCATGGGTATGTCTGTGTATGTGAAACATTTAAGACATGTGGAATAAAAATCATGACCTTCTGACCATGACAGGAAGAACTCCTTTTTTGTTGCATTTGGCTGAACCACAAGAAAAATACAAAAATTAGAAGGGCCCATGGAGAGTGCATTACTCCAGCAAGGCTAACACTCTATCTCGCCATGTTAAAGAAAGTGAAAAACAAATTCCTTGATCCAGCCGATTTGATTTGATAATGGGTTAGTCCTTGAGTCATGCCCCACCCCTTCACAAAATTTTATTAAAATCAGTTCAGTAGATTTAGCATAATGGTACTTATTTAACTAGCAAACACACAAACACAGTTGAAAACATAGCCTCCTTAGTAGAGGTAAAGTGTGTAAGTGCTTCACAAATATGGTATCGGCAATTAAGGGTGAAGAACATTGAGATTCACCAAACACGGGTCCAGTTTGAAGACTGCAGGGTCTCAAATTATGAACTGCACCCTTTTGTCTTCAGATGAAGCTATGTATTTGCCATTGGGGGCAGCACAACAAGCTACTAAGATAATAGTGAGTTGTTAT